TGTTTACCTGTTTACGAATTTATTGGATATCGGTGAATATTCTTATTGGTAATTATGACATATGAAGTATCAAGGTGTGTTGTGCAACATGCCCAGGTGTACACTGAAATAGGTTTCATTGAGGGCTTTTTTGGGCATTGTATATAAATGTTTTCATATTGCTCGTTCGGGATCTTTTGCATACCCGTTACTTAGAGTCCTAGTTTTCAACTTTCAGCTATATTAAATAGAATGGGGTATCATGCAATATATTTTCTTTCATATTTATACATTCATTTGTATTACCGATTACTGGTCATGATCTATCACAGCCTTTGTCAACCCAGGTGCCATGGCACACTGCGGTGCCTTTCGGCTTCCTCAGGGGTGCCTCAAAATGTTTACATAAGTCATGCCACTGATGTGAAAAGGGCTCCTGATGTGAAAGAGCAGAGGGCTCTGATTCGAAGGTGGCTCCTAGTGTGAGAGGGAGTGACTCAGATGTGTGGTTTGGAGTTACCACTTAAACTCCATACCAGACACCTATCTTGGAGGGACCACATGTAATGTTTTACATATATGTTTTTTTCACATTTTAGACTGGGTTGCCTCAAGATTTGCATACTTTTAACCCCTTCGTGACGGGAGACGTACACTGTACGTCCAGCCACAAAGGGACGAAATGACTTGTCACGTACACTGTACGTGACGAGTTATTTGCTGCTTTAGAGGGCTGTTAACCGCTGAAACGTTTTTTTTCTCTTTTTTTATATTTTATTTGTCCTAAGTGAGGCGTTAGACACACGTGATATAAATATGTAGCACTATCTGTCCCCAAAAAACAATATATAATATGTGTGGGTGCACTTTGTAAGAAAGTATATTACTGACGTGGAAGAATCACACAGCAAAAATGTCAAAAGTGCGTCAGTCATTTACAAACAGAAACTAAAAACAAGCTCAGTCATGAAGGGGTTAAAGGGTGCTTTAACCTTAACAAAGTTCAGAAACACTGATCGGGTGGCTTATATGACTACGTGATTTTGGTTACTATCCATCATTACAGATTTTGACTACTTTCCTTGTCAAGCTAATCTCAGGCAGCACCAAGTGTGGTAAACGGTTATGTTTTACGTTTAGTTTCCACTAATGTAGAAGTAGGCTTAAGGGAATCAGGACTTCACAGTGCTTTGGCAAATTAGCAGCTATTTTATTTTTTAAAAACCCTCTCCCGGGGCCAGGCTGTTGAAGTGGAGAAAAGAGGTGCCTGTGTGACAATTGGTGAAGTTGGGTCGCAATTTGAGTGAAAATTGCGCCAGCGATGATTATGAGCCATACTGATTTCAAGTTTGGGCACCTCACGTTCAGCTCCTTTGTACAGCATATTTTAAAAGACTTTAGTCTCATCAGAGCAAAATGGTGTTTGATATATGCATTAAATTCTAATTTGGATGCATACATCATGGCTAAAGCTAAATGGTAACAGTTACATTAAAACTCAAATGCAATTTCTTCAATGCCGATGTGACAATGCAACTTCAAAGCTCAACTCCGTGCACAAAAACATATTTAAAAATCTTCAATAGTCACAAAGGATATAAATATTTTTGTGTACCAAATGCCTTTGCAAACCCAACTATTATCTTGTAGAAAGTAGCAGTAGCAAATGTTCCTCAAGTAAAAGATCACCCTTTAGACATGTATTCAAATACAGCTTAGTAATTGTAAAATAAACTGCGACATTCTACTCTACAGTCCTAGATAGAACTGTACTGTTATTCTTTTTTATTTTGCCAAAAGCAAGCTTTTTCTAAGTAGCATTGACCTCAATCATATGATTAATTACATAATACTACATTAATTGAAAAAATTAGTTGTTCATTTTCCCTGAATATCATTCTGTCTTAGAACAGTCGATTAAGCTGTTCATCAAAGGTGAGTAGGCAAGGTCAGCAAGGCTGTACCTCTTCATCTATTCATTACTGATTCTCCATGGTAATTAACAATGCCAACATTTACATAAATCACATTCCCTCTGATTGTACTCCTATACTTTGAGGTGGGGGGGATTCAATCTTGACAATGTTTGATTTTTACTTCACAAGCTGACTCAAAATTGTTAGTTATCCAATGTCACTGGAGACAAAGCATACTTGGGCTAGGATTAGGTGGTTTCCATGGCTGAAGTCACATAAGTGCCAATAAAAGATTAACATCCATAAATAAACCAATACTAAACCCATTGCTACCCACAGTAAAGGCAATTCTACCATCAAAACTGGGGCCATTCTTAGGTACTAGAAATACATCATGCTAAATACGTTTACACACACACACACACACACACACACACACACACACACACACACACAATACATTTTTTTTTCACTTTAGAGAGTGGCTGACCTTTACAAAAAGGTTTATATCAGTCCATTGATGTATTCATTTACAGGGCTGGACAACTTTAGGTTCCATGTAGCTACAAAGCCTAATTTTTATCAGCCTTTGTAGCCATCAGCACACTAGAGCAGTGGAGTGCATCTCCACTTTTGAAATTACATTTGAGAAACCCCCTCTATATGGTTGTTATGCGTTACCATTTACATAGCGTAGTAGCATACCTAAAAATAAGTTTTCAAAAATTATTTCTTATGCTTCCAATTATTTTCCTTAGAGTGGGATTATACGTAAAAAAAAAACTACAGGTGGCGTCTATTGCTTACAAGATGAGGGACAGACTTGGGACAGTTTTTTAAAAAAGTGCATTAATATACAATGCCTTGAGATTTTTAACACATAGTCCTGTACAACTGATAAGGACGCTTTGCCAGAGTACCGACAGGATTAATGATGGTAAACAATAATTCCACAGCTACACCCACCCTACACACACACACACACACACTACATAGAATAGGAGAACTGCTAGTGTGCAGTGTTGAGATAGCCCAATATTAATACATATAGAGCCATTTATTCTAAACTACATAAGTTTTTGGCTTTTTGGGTCATCATTCGGGCAGTGTATGGAAACCATGGCTTCTACGGAGCAGGCTTTAGGACCCAACTAGCAGGTATAAACATTAAGTATATGGTGAGAACTAAAGGAATCAAAAAAGCCCCCCAAGTGAATCAGTGGTTCAGGATGTGCATTCAGCCATTAAATATTAATTTTATGTTTTTCAGATGTGTCGCTTTTTAACCAGTTGACATCCGCGGTGTTAAACCCCCTTCCCATCCAGGCCATTTTTCAGTATTCAGCGCTGCGGTACTTTGACTAACATTTATTCCGTCATGCAGCGCTGTAACATGTGAATTGATTTTACACCTTCCAACTTATGTCTATTTGATAATTCCCCAGCCTAATGTCCCATGTTGAGAATACTTTTATAAACGTATAGAAGAGTCACATCTTAATAAATGTGATCACTATGTCAGCTATGCCATAATGGTTACATTCGGGATAAAGGCTTCAGTAAAAAAAACAAAGTGTGTGTGTGTGTGTGGTGTGTGTGGTGTGTGTGGTGTGGTGTGGTGTGTAAGTGTGTGTGTTCATCTGCCCAAAATAGAAAGAAAAAAAAAGCAGTGTTTTTATTAAAACAGTGTACCAAACTAAAGCCTTGTATATATCCTTAAAAATGTATACAAATTATTTATTTAGGTATGGAAATTAGTAGGGATGTCCCGATACCACTTTTTCAAGACCAAGTACAAGTACTGTCCCTCATGTACTTGCCGATACCAATTACCGATATTTTTTCTTAAAGGGACATGTGACATTTTTTCTAAAACAATACAGACTAATGATTTTAGGGCAGTTTCTCACCAGTGCTGCGTGCATTGGAGGTGGCAGGTTCTCTTTAAGGTGACATTAGGGGACTATTAGACCTTTCCACTTCACTGGATTCACTGAATGTAAATACAGCAGTCAGTGGCTGGGAGCAATAGCCAGCCTGCTATTGGATATTTTAAATTGCAATAGCCAATAGCAGGCTGGCTATTGTACCCGCCCACTGCCTGCTGTCAATCAGCAAAGGAGAGAAAGGAGAGAAATGAAGACAAAGTTCTCAATCAGGTCCTCTCTGCTGATTGACAGCAGGCAATGGGCGGGTACAATAGCCAGCCTGCTATTGGCTATTGCAATTTAAAATATCCAATAGCAGGCTGGATATTGTTACAAGTGTCTATTCCTTTTCCACTTGATGAAACGGTTTGCTTTTGGTGGTATCTCACAGTGTCAGCTGTCTGTGCTCCTTATGTGTTTAATAATGCCCTCACCAGACATACACAGATGTTTTCCCTCTCAATGAAAGAAGAGAAAGTCCGTTCTGTGTGAAGGCAAGATTTACAGCTTCTCTCCTCTCCTCCCCCGTGAGCACACTGAACGGAAATTCAATGAGAGTGAAAACTGCTGTGTAGGTCGGGTGAATGCATTACACATAAGAAGCACGGACATCTCACACTTTGTGATATATTAACAAAAGCAAACCGTTTTACCAAGTTGAAAAGGAGGGGACACGGAGGAGCAGCAGCTAATGTAAAGGGAGAAGAGCCTGTCCACACAACACTTACCACCCACCATGCTGTCACACTTCCGTCCGGAGAGGTCAGAGCGGAGAGGGAGCCTGCCTTTGTTGGAGAGGTATTCCGGGGAGGGGCTATGGGGGTCAATGGCCAAAGCTAGTTTCAAAAAATTAAAGGGCCGGTATCTGATCTATGCATCGGCGCATTTTCAGGACTACAAGTACTCCTGAAAATGCTCTGTATCGGGACATCCCTAGAAATTAGTCAAAATTATTTACATGTTAACTGATGCATGCGGATGCTACTAAACTCTGGCTCTGACCTCTGAACACGAAAGGGTTAAATAGCAAAGTACAAATGAACATGTTCTCATAGCCAGCAAAATGCACTACATCACATCTGGTGTGAACAAACAAAAAAATAAATAGTTGCATGAGTTGTTGGCGGAGGTAATAGTAGTAGAGTATGCACAGTAGGGTCAGCTTAAACCTTCTCACCTTTTGGCATTTCTGTAGGCAGGTAATGGGGTTCTTGTGCACTGACATGATCCCAATCAAAGTCATCATAGAGATCCTGATGATAGTCACAGGCTGCTGGGCCATCATCAAAGGTGCAACCTCCTGAAAAAAAAAATCCATTGAGATATTAATTTTCAGAAATCCTATAAATATATTTAGATAGTCATAAGGTTATAAACAAATACACATACATAATCCTCAGCACTGGACTTGCATATATAGCAATGCATGTGCACAATGGTAATGTGTATTAACTTACATCAGCACAGTTTGTAAGGATCAATGTCCGTTACCTCAACTGGGGTTTATGGAGCAAAAATTTTTATAGAAACATACATTTGTATCAAAATCTGTACTATCAGAACCCAATATCCCTTTTGAGTTACTTTAAAACAAATCTTCATCTTTCCTAATTTTCAGATGCTCATGCACAAGGCATGGAAAATAATGAATCTGGGGAAATTGAATAGAACAATTTAGGGACATTTAACATTCAAAGGGTATCTCTAACCATTTATTTTATGAATACCCAATATTCCGGTCAGTTTTTTAAAATGTTTTTTCTGCCATTTCCTGTCTGGGAGTTTCACTTCCTATCCCAGTGACATATAAAAAAAGAAAGCAAATCTTTTTAAAATTAGTGGCTATTTTAAGGGTGTTTTTTTTACACTTAATTTTACAGATAAAACACTTTAAAACATGCATTAAGAAAAATAAAAGAAAGCAAATTTAAAAAGTTTAAACATTAATTATTAAGCAACAGACCAAGGAGCTGCATTAGAGCCCTTTAATACAGGTAGTCCGATCAGGTCCATTCATCAGTTTTACAGGCACATCTCATCAGAACCCCAATATTAGTCTATAGTCAGCCGTTTCTAAACAGGCATGGGTCCGTTTACATCCGATAACCTCCAACTCTGACCAGGTCTGGAAAACCAACAGAGTTGGCTTTTGGCGGACCTGATCGTAACAGATGTGGGTTAATCAGATGTAAACAGACATGTGCGTTTACATTTGATTCCCAATAGACTGATATGGCGTCTGGTAAAGTGATGGAGGAAAAAAACTGACAAGATGGAGGAATAACTAGACGGACATGGATGTCACAATGGTGACACCTGTTCTGAACTGCTTCCATCAGCAGGAGATCTGTGGAACGTACAGGCGCCGGCCCATGTGAAAGGGCCTTAGGAACAGCTCTAAAAATACAACACAAATAATGCTCTAAAAAGAGCATTCTTTTTAGAATAATCTTTATTTAGGTATACTGACAGGTAGGAAAAAACAGTACATTCACCCACGTTTATGTGGAAGTGAAAATATACTTCACATTACATGTTGCTGAAGGCAAACAATATCATAGGATATGCACAAAACATACTTTTGTTGCGTTGACTGTATTGTTACAATTCTAAGCCTATGATAAAGATTGACAAAATATTCCATAATGAATCTACATTTTCCCTATCTTTTAAGGTTCATAAACCAATAAACAAATAAACAAATGAGCGGAAAACAGTGACCATCTCATTTCCATTTATTTCCCTAATCCCATTCACTTTATCAAACAAAGTCCCTACCGAGGATTTACCCGCATTTACAAAAAGGTGGGATATCAAGGTTTTTTTTTGTTTTTTTTTACAGGATTTATTAGAACTTGGTATCTAATGAAAAAAAAGCATTGCCAACAGATATATTCAGGAATGTTAAATTGTAGGCATTTTTGCACATATTTGTTTACTGTGTTGGGTGACAGCGGCGCTTCACATATTTGAATATTAATGCAGGCTTGCGCAGCTAATTTAAGTTAGCAGCTGTAAAGAGGAATGCCCAGTTTAAGAGTAATCGAACGCTGAAGTTTCTATAGAAAAGTTGTAGGCATTGGTCAATAATGTTGTGCACCACTGGCTAGAAAGGAACTGACCTAAATGCCACATCCCATCAATCCCACATCCCCTCCAACTTTCCGTGGAGACACCCAGATACATCTCCAAGAGTCGGAATGGTGCTCTGCACCATCTAGAGCAAAGCAAGGCAAATTCTGGCCCTCCAGCGTTGGTGAAACTACAAATCCCATTATGCATCTGCATATGGGAGTCATGTCCGTGGATGTCAGAGTCTTGCAATGTCTAATGGGAGAGTATAGTTTACAATAGGTCTCCTGTTTAGAGCTGGTAGAAGATACATGCATCAGCTTTGCTATTTTAGTCTTTTGACTGTCAGTGTGATACTGGGGTGCCTCTCCAATTCCCTGATAAAATGTTTTGTTGCAGTCTAGTTGCAACTCCAGGTCAGGAAGCAATTTATAAAAGAGAATGATAAAGGATTTAGTAGCCAAATCTCTCTGCAGACTGTTTTAAAAGCTGATGTGCCTAGTGTTCTGCGGGGGTCACATAGGCCATTCCTGCCACAGTTGCTAAAGATAAGTCACACTGGGACATTTTGAGCCCTAAATATCAGTCAGCAAGCCACCACAAAACCCAACTAATGGCTGTAGACTTCCTACAGAGGGATTCTTTTTTTTTTCCCCGCTAAACATTGGCCTTCATGAGCCATTGAGCATTTATGTCTTTCTCAATCTACAAACCGATCATCATTCAAGTTAACCTCTGTCAAAAAGACAGAGATACAATAAATTAACTCAATGCTTTTTTTTTATATACATTATTGTGTAAATGGCTAATGTAATGGATTCTGAATGATAATTCCAGACAGACTAATGTTGTTATTAAAAGAACATCAATCCAGAAATGTAATTACAAAATTGCAAACTTGGCATTTACTCAGGTCAGAATACCATGGCTTACATATCACTTCTCTGTTGTATAGAAACAGGACACATTTGTTCAGTTACTTTAGTGGAAATAAACCTTTTCATTGCCAAAGATGCATATTGTCTTTGCTTTCATGTGGCCTTACACTGCAATACATTACTATTTTATTATCGGTCTGTAGAGTACAGCATTGGTTAACATAGGATTTTAAAAAGTATAAATAGTTCCATACACAAAAATTAAAAATAATGTTGGTGTTAATGCAGTCACGTTTGTCAAAAGGGGATTGTTTGCTTCTTATTTTTTTGTATCTCTACTTTGTCACTAACATACAGCAAGCAACTCCCAATCACAAGTTCAAACTCCCATGTTTTCCTGCAGTTTACCCTACTTAGTGGTCTTGCTGTAGCATTTTTGTGTTCTTTGCTGCTCTCCCTTATTTTTTCAAAACAAAATAACCAGTTAGTAATAGCTCTCTTTTATTAAACAGAAAAAAGAATTCATGCTAAAATATGAAGAATCCTTAGTCATGCACAGAATAAAGACTGCTGTAGAAAGACTGTGGCACAGGTTAAAATACAAGTCATCCATATTCATGAATTTAAAGAGCTCCACTGAGCTTTATTTGCATCTAAACTGCCAATAACTCGGGAACATTCGGTGGCTACTTTGCCACACACACAGGGACCATGGGGAACAAAAATAGCCAGCTTCCAGAAGGAAGAACAGTGTGCCAGCACAAATTCAGAGAGGACGTCAGGTTCTACACCCGAGTGATACACAAATAATGTACAGTTTTCTTAATTTAGGTACTTTAAGATTAACTCCTGTGTCACTTTAACAATTCTCTAATGCTCCACATGGCGGCTGTAAACAGGAATGTCTGACTAAAGGTGCCCATACACTTTAGAACCCTCGCAAGACACTAGTCTTGCGAGGGTTGTAAAGTACTTAAAAAAACGTACGCACACCGGCCCGTTCGGCAGTTGTCGAACAAGCAGGCCACTAACTCGCCGAGAATCGTACGATTCCCGGCGGGTTTTCCAGCCTGCTTGTTCGACGGAAGACGTGTGACCATACAGTAGAAACGGTCGCACTCCTTCCATACACTGCACGATTCTCGTACGAGAATCGCGCAGTGTATGGGCACCTTAAGCTAGATGTTCCCGTTTATGGATTGCTCTGGTCTCACAGATCCCAGGAGGCAGCCAAGTTTTACATGCAGATGGACCATAATACAACATATCTATGGGCATCCCTACTTTTAATAAAGGGTTTACATTTGTTTTAACACTTTGTGATGCTCTTTTTCAAGATCTAAGAATGCATAATAAACTGGATTGTAAGTGATTACATGAATACTTATATTTCAAAACTACACAGATTATAGATCATCAACAACAATCCTTAAATTTTTCAAGGCAGCTGTGATGGTATGTTCTATTACAAGGACTTTTCCCGTGAGATAAGTCTGCCAAGTCTATCAGTTTTGATTTTAGACAAACCAGATTGATACCAGGTGTTTTGCATTTCACTCACAGGTCATGCAAGCTTGTAGTATATGAGCATAAAACATTTTTTGCGCCTCAGGGAAAAGAAACATCCCAACACTGGCTAATATCTAAGCATCTTACATCTGTCCATCATATGATTCTTTGCCTTGCTACATTATGGACACGCCTTCAGGGTGAAAATGATCATTTCAGAAATCTGAAGCAACAGTTTTTGCCATGAGAAACTTTCTAACTTGCTCTCACACTGCTATAGTATACAGTGCGTATGCAGCATCAGTTCTCTGGTTGAGTCAGCAGTACAGAAGTGGGTCTTGGTGCGATCAAGCATGATCAAGTACTTAACCTATCTATGGCTAGGCACCCAATGTATTTATCATACAGTACAAATTATACATATTTATATACGACTATATTACCAAGCACAGAAATACAGGCAATTGTGCATATGAAACTGAAGCAGATATGTGTCCGCTATTAGTAAGAGCAGAGTGATGAGTGAAGTGACTTCCCCCTCGCAGCTAACCTAACCTTGTCTGCTTATAAAAGGAGAAGATGACACACAATGGAGACCTGTGCCTGCAAGGCAGTCATTAGCCCTTTTATACATTAAACACCCTCTAGTATATTAACACGAGCTACCAACAGATCACATATTTAATAATAAAACAAGATGGATGCCCTTAATTGTAGTCATGTGAACTAATGCAATTCTACATATTAAAATGTTAAAAACGGTATAAAATATAATTTTTCCTGTCGCATTATCTCAACATTAGATGAAATGTTACAATTATTTCCTTGCTCCAAGTGCCTT